GGGTCACAGGCAGGCTGTGGTCCCTGGCCCGGGGGTCTCACAGTATCCTGGGGAACATGGATAAGAAAGCCAATGTATTATACTGTGGTAACTGCTTTAACACTAGAAGCATGGATAAAAAATAACAATGAAGAGAAGCACCATGTTTGCCTAAGAGAAAGATACTTTAGCAGAAGGGGTTTTTTGGGCTGGGTTTTGAAGGGCTAAGTAGGCTTCCGTGAGACAGAGGCGATGGAGCGTGAGCGGCCAGGCAGAGGGAGCGGGTCTGCCCTGTTGAGCCGACGTGAACTGAGCAGAACTATGTCAGACACTGTTGTGGACACCGAGGTAGCTAGCTGGACCGAGGAGCGGACAGTCTGGTAGGCAGAGAGGTAAACAGGTAAGTTCAAATCGGCTTAGAAAGGCCAAAGGCGAAGACACTCACAGGGGTAGCAGGGCAGCTAATGGCCCGTGGGGGCGAAAGGCAGAGAGGGGTGGATGCAGGGTCCCTCGGAGACCTGGTGCCCAAGCAAAATTTCGAAGGGTGGACTACATCATCAGACAAGGGAACAGCCTACAGGCGAGCACTGAGCTGGGAAGAGAGTGGCGTGTTGAGGAACTAGAAGTTGGAGAATATCGGAGACGGAATTGGACAGCAGGTAGAAGGCAGGAAGGGGAGGCAGGCTTTTATTCGTGCTCACATGTTGACGATGGCCTCATCCCAAAGGCAGTGAGGAGCCTGGGGCTGCGTCCCAAGTGGTCCAGGGCAAGACTTGCAAGTTAGCAAGTTTTAATAGCCTGGAGACCGGGAACCGGCGGGCAGCCTTTGCTAGAATACCCGACGTGATGAGGCCTGAACTAGAGGAGACGGTGGGGAGAGGCGGCAGGACCCAGGGAGTGAGAGGTGGGGGCCATCCAGGCGCTGGGGAGAGCAGCAAGTGGGGCCCAGCCGGCCGTGAGTGGAGTGGCAGAAAGCGAGGCTGGGAGCAGGGTAAATCAGAAAGTGTCTCTGTTGTACTTCTTAGCTTTTGATCCCTATGTATAGGTTAAAAGCAGAAATTCAAACTAATCTAGACCCACCAGATTCTGAGGGGGTAGTCTTAGTACAGGTTAATCAGTGTGTTCTAATGCACACAGTCCGAGTGCAGCCCTGGCGCCACGGAGGCTCTGTGTCCCAGGCCGGCGCACAGAGACCCTCTCAGCGGAGGCTAACGTGCGTTTTGTTCTTGGCCCAGGGCCAGGAAGGAGTACTGGGAGAATCTCCGGATAGCCTCAGGCAGGCCCTACAACCCCGCCATGTCAAAGCCCGATGCCTGGGGAGTGACCAAAGGAACCTCCTTGCTGATGCAGCAGAAGGAAGCCACCACCGAGCAGCAGCTGAAAGAGCTCTTTGAAAAACAGAAATTCAGATCCGCGTAGGAGCCTCAACACAACCCAATTCTGTGAATTCTTTTCTGTTTGGGCCACAGTTCTTAGAAATGAGGAAAAGACAGTTAAAATGCAGCGCTCGTGTTGACACCAGCTTATACACAACATTGGTGTGAGCTGAGCGAAATAGAATTTCAAATAGCGCCTCACGATTTTAAAAGTATGTTTTAGAAGTTTCCTTAGAAGCAAAATAAGTCATGAAGTAAATCTTAAGCAGGCTTACTAAGCACCCACCCGAGTAAGGTGTTCAGGAAATCGCCGTGGACAATGGAGTGATTCGGACATTAACCCCACCTGGAGAAGTCTGCAGGCTAGTAAGGGGGTTGGACAGAAGCTGTCATACATGGGTCAGCAGCCAGGCAGGGACAGATAGAGTGACGCAGGGAAGTGGCTTCCAAGCTCCTCTGAACATGATCCTTAGCGAGAAACACAATTTATATGATGGCCCAGTAAAGCACATACCATATGATTATTGAAATAAAGTGTGTGACCCATTCTGTTATTTTGTATTCCATTTCTTTCCATACTGTTTTATTTATAAAACATGCTAGCCGAGATCCTTCAAATTGATTTTATGATCCATTAACGGGTTTTGGCCCATAGTTTGAAAAACTGCTATGGGATACTTCAGCTATGGGGACTTTTCTATTTCTTTACGTTTATTCTTAGCAGATAAGTAATATGGGGCCTGGTCAATAAGTATCTGAAGCCCAGAGTTGTTCTCTCTCTGCTGATCCATTTCTACTGCTAAGAAACGTACCAACCAGTAGGGAGAGGCTGGGAAGGGACTGGTATGTAGGCCCTCTCCATTCCACCCAAAACTGAATGTATGTAAATGCCTCCGGCAGGTAAGTCTGAGGAACAACAAGTATGTGTTACTTTGGTAGCTTAAAGAAAGTATAATTTTAAGAAAAAACCCAGATATTCCCCAAACTCTACCCAGGTTTCCTATATTGAGAAATGTATTTTCAGCTGATACTATCTACTCTCTTCTGAGAGCTCAAGCCTGAAGACGCAAGACCATTAGAATAAACACGGCTACCCTTCATGTACTAGGAAAGAGAAGAGTCCATGCTGTTCTTAAACATCCTTGGATTGGTTAGCTGTTCTGAACATCTATTAAAAAAATAAGAGCAATGAGACTATCCTGGTTGTCCTAGATTCTTCATTCTATAATTTGCTAAGTCCTATATGAAATCTCTCTACCTCAGTTTATCCACTAATTAAAAAAAATAATACCACCTTCCTTCTTCAAAAGTATGCTGGAGTTTTAAAGGAGAAGGCAGCAGTATTAAAAAGGAAAATAAATTTCCAGAATTTTCTTACAAAAGTAATTAGCAATCCACCCCTCACCCCGCAATGCACAGAAATGGAACCAAAGCAGCACACAGCTCTCAGAGGCTGCATATGACTGAGGTGAAATTAGAGGAGACTAAAATGCCACTTTTTTTTTTTAAGTTGCTATCTACCACTTCTCACTCTCAATCCCGTTCAGTATTTAATGCTTTCATTTACAGATGACAGAAACTTTTATTGGATTTACTGTTCTAGTACTGTGTAAGATGGTTGCCCCTTTGATATTCTTTTCAGAACTTTATTGCCCTCCAAAACACTGTAACCCCTAATCACTCTTATATCTTTTGATTTAAAAACCATTCCCTCAAAAGGAATTATAGATGTGCTTAAATGAACTTTATGTCAACACTGCCTCCTAGTGGCACATTTCACATTTTGGAGAAAAAATTTGAAATTCAGCCTGTCCACCCAGTACATTCATTTTATTTCCAGAAATCTTGTTCATTAAAAGGGAACAAGGCCCATTTAATACTTCAGAGTTTCTTTATGTTAAATAGGCATTTTTCACTGGTAAATATATTTTTATAGTCAGAACCAGAGGGACCTTAGAGATCACAAGTCCAAACTCTCCCTTTTAAGGATAAGGTGACTAAGCGAGACAGGGTGCCGAGTCAGGAAGGGCTTCTGCTAGTCCAAGGCTGCTTTTAGCTTGGATTCTAGGTAGAAGAGGAGTGGAATTGGGACAGATGGGTCAAAAGACTGAGTTCATCCTCAGGCCAGGAAATAAAGGCCCTTGCATTACTCAGTCAGTGTAAACTCACTGAATAAACCGTTTGCGATTTATGGCCTGACACTTCCTTACAATGCAGCAAAGCGCCGCTTGGTAAGGGAATCAGGCCAGTGCCGGCCTTAGTGAGACCCATCTAGACAGAAGGGATCAAAAGCTTCAGTTCCCAACTTCTCCAGAGGGGGGCAGCAAGTCCCCAGCAGGGAATGCCTGGGCTGCTCTATTTCGCTTTGAACCTAAGCTGTTTCATCAGAATGAACTGTAACATTAAATGGCAGAAATATCTGTAGCCCTCCTTCTTCTTGTTAGCCTTTTTTCTAAGACATGTGGATCACTGAATCATATCCAAGACAACTCGCCCATCCAGGAAGACTGCGTATGTCTCCAACCCGATCCCCATGTCCCCCAGCTCTTCATTTTTCCCAGCTTTGAGCACATTGGTTGGCTGCGAGCATTACACAGACTTTTTTTTTTTTTTCCCAAACAGCTTCTCTGTTAGTCAATAACACACCTTTGGCCAGTCTGGAACCTTCCATGCGTTACCTGCCAGGTAGATAACTGTGATTCTTACACAATAAAGGATGAAGTAGTTAACTTGAGGAAAATAGAGGAGTGCTAGGAACTGCCTGACAGTGAGCGTGTTACAGAGATAACAAGACCCAATATTTCTGAACACCTCCAGGAGCAAATGAAGGTTGAGAGTATTTGAATGGAAAACAACAGAAAGACAGCCAAAGGCAAAGACTTCTCACAGACGGTGGTAGGAAGGGTAGGGTCATTTGGCAAAAACTGGAAGGAGTGTGGTGAGGGAAAGGAAACGCTAGAAAATGCTCCCAGTTCTCAAGCAGCGGGAGGCATTCTGTTAGCCTTGGATAGATGAAAAATTAAGGGATAAAAAGTGAGACAGACAGATGTCATCATTTGTGCTGCTGTGAGCTATGGAAATAATGCCCCACAATTTGAGTGCAGCAAACAAAACAGGTTAATTTACATGCCACTAAATGAAACGCGAAATAATTTTAACACATGGTTTGACTGACATACTGGTGAAGTTTCCCTATGTAAATTTCTGCATAAAGTGGGTTGTTAAGGGGAACATTTAGCTTAATAAAATGTTTTAGCATAAATATAAGAATTTATTTCCCCAAATGCCTAAAATATTTTTTGCAGTCATCACTTATATGCAGATCGTTAATGTACCATTTATAAATGATTCCTGTTTGTTCCTTCAAGCAGGTTCGGCGAGACCTCTGCTTGCCCCCATTTTGTGGTTATTTGTTCCAATTTACTACATGGCCTTGAAAGGAAAAAGCTGAATATCTCTGAAAATATTTCAAGCTTTTCCCCCAATTCAGTCTGGTCATTCTCCCAATTACTTTGACTTAATGAGATCTTTCTGTTCTTTGGAAAGGTTAATGTCTCACCATATGATTTGGCTTAGTGGAATTCAGCCATTTCCCCAAAACACTAGCACAAATGTAGTAGAAAAGGAAATGAATACATTTATTATTTTTTGCAATGACTACAGTTAGAATCAGGAATTTGGGGTGCAGGTTCTAGCTTTGCCCCCCTCCCTCACTGTGCAACATTGGATACATCACTTCTCTCACCTTCGATTTTCTCATCTGTGAGATGACAGATCTCTTAACACCTTGCAAAAGCCTCCAGTTTAAGTTTCTAATTTGATGGTATAATAAGCAATAGCCTCATCATTGTCAATAAATATTTACCGAGTGCCACTTGGTGATATGTTTCCCACAGACTTAATTGTTAATTAATTATTCCCCTGGTTAAACAGATGGCTGACTAAAACAAATAGCACTGTTCAGAGGGCAGGGAAAATGTTATTAGCCTCCCCTCAGCCGGGCCCTGGGAAATGGAAGCGTCGCTCTCCCCACAGGTGCTGTTTCCTATGGAGGCTTGGGTCTGTGGTTTTTCATTTTATGAACTGTTTCTGTCTTCAGGACTCGGGGTTACTCGGGGTTCCTTGTAGGTTTGCACAAGCTATGGAGGTTCTAGAAACCATCCAGTGGGTAATTCTTGTTTAGAGGCCTGGAGAGGTCAGCATGGTACCCGCTCCCAGTTTCCATTCCCATTTGATAATAAGGTGGTGGAGTTTGGAAGCTAGAAACCTGAGAAATTTTTCCCTCTGTAAAGCTATCCTCAGAAGCTTGATGACGCCCAGATTTATATCTCCAGCCTAGACCATTCCCCAAAATGTCCACTGGATATCAGTCTGACCTTTAGACCCAAGCCTGTCCCTGCCCCGGGCCCTGAGTCCCTTCCTGTGGTTATCCAGGCAGAGTGCCCCAAATCTGGTCCTGGTCCTGGTCCTGGCCCTGCGTGGGTTCTGGTCATCAGTGTAGCCTGCCTCAAATTTTTCTAAGTCTATCTCCAGTAGCCAGGACCGGTCAGGGCCAGCTGTGCCATCAGGGAGGGGTGTCTAGAGCCTGGACAGGTCAGCATGGGACCCGATCCTGGTTTTTTCCCTTCTGGGTGATCAAGGACACTCTACTTCCCCCTCCCATGTCCCCCACTTCCACCTCACTCCTGGTGTTGACCAAGTGCCCCCAAAAGCCCTGGGACTCTTGGTGGCCCCAATTCCAGGAGGGCCACCTGGTGACAGGATGGCTCCCACTGGCAGGTGCAGTGTTTCTGTCCCAGAATCGGGTGAGACTGGGCTGTCCAGTGTAGTGCTGACGCTGATTTTGTATGACTCACGTCAGACACAGGACAGGTACAGGGCTCTGGGTCGCTGAAGGTCCACCACCAGCCCTTCCCTCGAGCAGCCAACAGGGACCCTGCATTGGCTCTCACCTGTGGGGGCTGCAACCTCGGTGCTGCCCATAGTCCACGTCACTCGAGGATAGCAGGGGTGGCAATTGTCACCACCTGTCATACATTTCATAAAATCTTTGCTTTTCATCATCTCCCCACAAACCAAAATATAAACTGCTCAAGGTCAGGAACTTGGCTTTGTTCACTTCCATATCCAAGTGCCTAGAATGATGCCTTGGATGTAGTAAGAACTTAATAAATATTTGATGAATGAAAAAATGATTAAATGTTTGGGAGGCCTCTGCTAGAAAGAAGGAAACTTAAATAGCTATAAAAATACTTCAGTTGCCTTCTCTTGGACATGTACAGAAAATTTTAGGAGCTGAAAATTTTTGTGATTTGCTTGTTGCTTTCAAATTTGGGTCTAAAACCCAGGTTCCCAGGTTTCCAGGTTCCCATCTTCTTTTCTTCTACAAGCACACATTTATGCC